CCCCCGTCCCCTCTCCCTTGCAAGTCCCATGCCCACCGTCCTTCCCTCCGCAGCCCACGGATGGGGCCGAGGGGACACTCGACTGTGGAGCCCCGCCCGCAGGCGGCGTGAGCGGGGCACACTCGAACTCAGGTTGCCACGCAAATTCACCATCCTCATCTGGGACGGACACAAACCTGAGATATTCATTCAGGCGGACAGGCACAGCCTCGAACGAAGGATGCCGAGAATAGGACTGGGCTCTCGAAGCCTGGGCCTGGATCTCGGCGACCACCAGCGACGAGGGGGGTCCCCGGTACGATGGATACAAGCCTTTCGCGAGGCGGCTAAGATTCTCCCTCCCTTTGCGGGAGGGGGGAACACAGGGGTTGGCCAGGTTGCGTCCGTCAACCGCAGCCGTGAACCCGCAAACAGCACAAAACTTGAGGCCAAAGCGAGACCACTCCCTGAGGGCGTGGGAAGGATGCAAGGCCACGCCTCCAACCTTGGTCGCCCCGCACACCGCCAGGAGACCGTCGCCGAGGAAACGGTCACAGAAGCCAGCGGAGGAGGAAGGAAGGCCAGGCCCAGCAGCCGTTGGGCAAGCCGTGGCCGCGAATTCCAGGAGCTTATTCCGAGGCACGATCTGAGAGCAACCAGCACACATCCAACGATTGCTGCACCGCGAAAGGCGGTGCGACGAAGAGTCCAGGGCCCGCGCCAGTCTGGACAAGGACTGGGTCCTGGGCTTGGATACCCTGGGGCCGAATTCAGGGGCAATAGCAACACGATCGATCAATGCACGCCTCGCTCTTCTCCGCACAAGCAAGGCAGTGACATCCCAGCGATCCGTGAACGGGATCGGGTGTCTGACCGACGTTTCCCACCCCCTCCTCGCCGCCCACCCCGCCCAGACATCAGCACATGCATTGCCGTGAGAGAGGAAGGCTTGAAAAGGGGAGGTGATACGCTCCGGCTCAGCTCCCAGGTGGGAAGCAGTCCAGACAACCTCAACGGACCCTGGTCCGCGATTTTTGGCCGCCTGCAGGATTCTAACCCAGAGATCAGCATTTCGGCCATAAGGCCGAGCAGCACGGCCAGACCTCCAGCCTTCAACCACAGGCTTGCAATCACAAACGTAAGCGATATCACCAGACGAACTCTCGAGGCCCAAGGCCAGTGCCAGGAGCTCTGATCGGGGCACAGTCTGTCGTCGTCCAGAGAGACAGGCAGCCACACCGCAGACGGGGAGCCACATAGCCTCAGAAGGATCCCCGTCCGAAGTCCGACGCATGACTACCACCGCTGCTCCGCAGCGTCTCCGACGATCGTCAGAGCTGTGCTCTCACCCTGAGCCGTCCCCAAACAGGTAGAGGGGGGGTGTCCCGCAGGGGCCGAGAGCTCCATCAGCAAGCACTGGCCGAGGAAAATGGGATCAGAAAAACCAGGTCCCTCCTGAAACCGAGGAACTGTCAGACTGGCTGCAGGCACTCCCCTCAGCCACAAGGATGGGTCGAGGTCAACATTCGCCAACGCCTGCGGAATGAGTGCGTCCGTAGACGTGTAATCAGCGTGGGAGCAATTTTTCGGACACTCCCAGATGCGGTGGCGCAGCGTCTCAGGGGCCGCTCTGCACCGTGGGCACCGACGATCGACTTGGCACCCTGCATCGTGCTGCCTCTGCTGCGTCCACTGCCCACCTGCTGTGACCGAGACCGTCGCGCCCCACAGGTCCATGTCACCCTTCCTGGCGAAGGCCTCCAACTCACGCTGAATGCCATGCAGATCCGCTCCATCCGCGGGCTGTTCGCCATCTGGATGCTTGGCGGCCAGCCGCCAGGCAGCAGCGCTGCAATCGTGTTCAAAGTCCGCCAGGAGCTCACTGAAATCCTCCAGCACGGTGTCGTTGTAGCCATCCTCGCCGATGGCAAGGAACGTGTAGTCCTCTGGCCCCTCTGCACCTGAGCGTCGCCAACGGGCGGCCTCCAGGGGCACCCAACCCGCCTGCAACAACGTAGCTTGAAGGGCAGCGATGGGCCCGCGGACACCGCGCCAGCGGACACGATCCCCCAGCCCAGCACGAACACGTGGCCAAACCCGAGCAATGCGGCCATGCAAATACGGGTGCGCAATCCACATGCGAAACCACTCAGTAAGCACATCCCGTCGAAGCTGCACAGAGGGGTCGCTTGCGCCAAGCGTCGCCTGCAAAACTGTATGTAAGCATCGCCCCCTCTTGTGGCCAGCAATCGAGATCGACGCTTGCCTGCGCAGCTTGATCATCATGGAGGGCGGCACTCCGCGAGCTTGATGGTGATGCCCATACGTAGCAGAGGGAAGCACACCGGCCCTCCACAAGCCACGCGCCACCTTGTGGCTGCCAGCAAGTCGCCGAAGCTTCTGCATCCTGCCCTGACGCGCCGTAGCCCTGACCATTCGAGCACGAAGCTTGGGTCGGGCGCGCCGTCGAGCACCAGCTGCGCCAACTCCCATGTCGACAGCCGAGGAGACGTAAGTAACAGGAATCCCCATGCTCTTCAAGGAAGTGACGAGAGACAACCCCAGCGCGTCATCACTGGCAACAAGCTTCGTCTTGTCAGAGATCGTCGAGCGGTGGTCCTTGAACGCATGAGCCAATGACTGAGCGGCCGTCAGCATGTCTCCAATGACAGTAGCACGCGCACCCTCCGTCCTGCATACAGCGTCGTCAATGAATGTCCAAAGCCCCGCTCGTGGGCACGCAACATGGGCCTCCTGGAGGGGGCCGTGCAGGATCACCTTGGCCATGTCCACTCCACGCGGGGAACCAGCAACAATAGACTTGCCAGGCTCCAGGGCAGAGCTGACCAAGACGCCCCGCTTGATGAGGCGGGGTGCCGCATACATACCCACCTCCAGGACAGCGATGATGGCGGGGTAGTGTAGAGAGCGACTGGCCTTCATCAGCAGCACAAAACTGATCGAATCATAGAACTTCTGCAAATCGAGGAAGAGAGTGGCGTATGACACGCCCGACTCGCGAGCACATTCATCCAGGATGGCCCTAGCCAGCGCCGCTCGCAGAGCTGAGGACCCCGCGATCGCCGTGTCCCAGAAGGCTCCTTGCTTCTCCGCCCAAGAGTAAGACGGGGCTGAACGCGTCCTGCTCCGCAACTTGGCCGTGTGAGGCATCAGACCGAGCACCCTGTGGCCGCCAGCCTCCTTTGGAATGGAGTCACCGAGAACCGTCGTAATTTCCACAGGCCACACTCCTGAAAGCTCAATACCATTCAAGAGGTTCACCAGCGCGCGGCGGCCAATATCTGGCAGTCGCAGCACGTCATTTGGCCCCAGCGCGTCAACTCCTTGAGCCTTGCTCGATGGCATGGCCCGTAGGGTGGAGGTGAGCTGGTCGAGCTCAAAGGGCGGCAGCGCTTCCTCCAAGGCGTCCGAGTGCAACTGGTTCAGCCAGTAGTGGAGGTCCTCTTGAGTGTCCACCTTCTCGCGCCAGATCTCAGACCAGTGCTGGCGCTTGCCTTCTAAGAGAAGCTGGGGGTGCCTGGTGGGGCAACCATCAGGGCCAGCACCTTCCCATTCAGGTGGAGGGTCTGGCTTGACATGGCGATGCACTAAGCCTGGTTTGCGTCGCCACTGCTCGCGCACCCACACCGTGAAACTGGCCCTGGATGCTGTCGTTGCCCGTGAAGAAGCCCAGTCCGACCAGCGCTGGGCCAGCTGTGCGACCTGGTCCAGCGCATCATCCTCTAGCTCATCCAGGATGCCTGCGTCCGAGACCCACGCCTCGGCAAGCTCGAGAGTAGTCTTCTTGCCAAAGTACGCGTCCTTCTCCAGCAGATCCAAACTCTGCAGGTGCCGCCGTAGTTGGGGCAGGCAGTCCCGAGCCTGGCACAGGTCGACCCCGTTGCCGGTGAGGGCGCGGAAACGAACCAAGAGAGTGGTGATGCCCCACCACTCGGCATAGCTGTTCATTATGTGGGTACGTCCAGGAGTGGCCCGCAACCTCGGCCACTTCACCACGGGCCCTGCGGCGCGACCCACACATGCACGCCGATCTGCGCCGCCCAGGCCCTCAGTGTCGAGGATGGCCTGTTCCAAAGTAGAGACCCAACAAACATACTCATCAGATATGCGCCCACGCTCTTCCGCACGCCACTGCAGGATGCGGTAATCTGAAGGGCGCACTGCAGGTAACGCACCCCGAGGACGGGACCGCCAAGCTTGAGCACGCCAGGCCTGAGCACGTGCACGGATCCTGGCTTGGTCCTCGATGCTGGGGACGACCGTAGGGCCAATCACAGTTGAACCACAACGCACCTGGGGCGCACGACTTGGCCCTACCGCCTTCCCCAAACTAATGCCTTGCTGGTGTGCTGGAACGGGTGGCACATCCTGATGGAAGACAGCTTGGTCGCGTAGGCAGACAGGTCCAGAGGGAGACGGAGCGCACTGTGGGGCAGGAGTCTGCGGTGGAACCTGCACACCACAAAACGGGTCATGCACCCACTCCCCCCCCTGGAAACTATCGAGGTCCTCCAAGTCCATGGTGGTAGGCACTCGTGCGGCGTTCTGACTAAGAGGCCCCAGGAGGTCGGTGCCCTCAACCCCATGCCTTGCGGCAAAGGGGCGAGCAGTGCGTGCCTCCTGTGCCAACTTCCCATAAGCGAAAACGTGACGACGCACAGACCTCTGTGAAGCAGAACTCGCCATCTGAGTAGCACATGTGCCCATCCCAGAGGAATGCACGTCTCTGGCCACATGGGCAATAGCAGTGGCAGCCGCCGCCCGTGCCGAGGCAGGGGCCTCCTAGCCGCTGCAGCTCGGGTCCACGCCTCCGCAAGGGAGGGGCGCGCCGAACAGCCACGGGCCCACGCCTCCATTGAGGGACTCACCGTGCCACGGGCCCACGCCTCCGTGGAGGGGCGCACCGTGGGGCTGGGAGGCCCAAGGGCCTGGGGGCAGCGCTGCCAGTGCTGCCAGCCAAGTATCCTCAGTCACCAAGAAGGGGGCGCGCACCTCCTCTCCTTCCTGATGCTCCGAGGTCGCGAGCGCCGCCTGGCTAGCAACAAAGCCTTCATGCAAGTCCTCAGGGAGAGCCTCGCTGCGCCTCTGGAGTGCAGCAGCTCGTCGACGCTGCCTCTTGCTGTCAGGTTGGGGCTGGGCCCGCGGCCGCATGGCAGTAGGCAGAGCCTTGGGCGCGACTAACTTCGACACCCAGCGCTCCACGCGCGCGCCCTTGATGGTGATCAAAATTCCGCAATGCGTCTTCCAGGGGGCACTCTGCACAGCATGCAACGGCAAAACAGGGCACGTGCGGCTGGCAAGCACATAGTCATACAGGCTGCCAGGGCCCTTATCACAAGTCACCTTACAATTCAACGGGACCTCCACCCGCGCCTGCAACTGCTGAACCCAGCCGCTGACCACGAGACCGGGCGGCTCACAATTCCAATCCGCAACAACTAGCCACGGGTCTGCAAGAGCCCGAGGAGAGGACGCCAGTGCGACCATGATGCCATTATTGATGCCGCGGAATTCCAGGCCAGGCTGCAGGTAGGCGGCGATCACCACCACATTCCCCGTCTTCAAGTGCAGGGTGAGCGGAACGAACCCTTTGCAGGGGCCCTGGCGGCCTTCAGCACGGGCGGCCGCGCGCATGCGCTGAAAAGAAGAGCTGGCAACAAACTTGCGTGTGAGGATCCATTCACCCCCACTGAGGCCCGACTCCGAGCGCCCAGAGAGACGCGCGGGAGTAGAGCTCAACTGCCATCCGTCCTTGTCGAGGTCGGTCTCCAGCTGCGGCAGGGCGTTAGCCCCTTGATGGGTCTCCACCAGGGCCACAACTGAATGATCGTAAAACTTCTCCGTGGGGAACCGTCGGGCTTGAGGGCCCCACTCTGTGATATTAGAATAGAATACCGTAGCATATGCGACTGGGGCGCCCGTGCTACCCGCGCTCGTGGGCGGCATCAGGCTCAGCAGGAGCGCCACGACCAGGAGCAGCACCTTCAGTGGCGACCTCGCCACGGCCAGCGGCCCGCTGGGCCTCGCGCGAGGACGCAGCGATGGAGGCGACCAGCTTGGCGCGCTCCTCCGCCGAGGGCTGGGCAGTGGGGGGGGGGGGGGGGGCTGTGCCGCTGCCACTGCCCTCGGGCGCAAACGAGGCAGGAGCTGCCTCCGAGGCCGCGCCCTCTGCCTCGTCCGCCCTGGCCTGGCCGCCCTCGGCGCGGCGCCGCTTGCGGGGGGCCCGCAGCGCCTGCTTGGCCGAGGCAAGCAGCTCCTTGAACTGTTGCTCGCGGGCCTTGGCCTGGGTGGCGATGTCATCGGGCTCCTTCTGGAACTGCAGCAACTTTTGCTTGTCCTCCTCCTCGTAGTCGTCCAGGTCCTGGAAGAGCTGGGGGTCAACTCCGAAGATCGGGGTAGCCTCGCCAACCTCAGGAGTGGCCGAAGCTTCAGCTCTGACGCCTGCGCCACCTCCACCCTGCGTGGCCTTCTGGGCCACCAAGCGGGCCTGGTCCGCCTCGAAGAGCTCTTCCGCTGCCACGAGCTGGCGCCCCTTACACTCCTCCAGCCAGGCCTCCGCCGAGATGAGCTGCTTGGACGCCTTGGCGAGCTTGGCCTGCTTCTGAGCACAGAGCGAGGTAGCTTCACGCAGGACAACGTACGGGCACTTCGCCTTGGGCTTCGGCTTGACCCGCTCCGCTGCCTCTTCGAACTGGTGAGCGAGCTCCAGCGCCGTAGAGTCCGAGGAGAGACCAGCCATCTTGAGGTACTGCTGCAGGAGCTGAGCGGGCTCGGCCTTGGACGGGAGAGGAGGCCAATCCTTGGAAGCAGGGGACCATGCTGGGGTCGACCACTCGGACTTCTCGGCGTTCGCCCACGGGGCGCGGGAGTGCTCCGAGCGGATCCAAGGCGCATTCTCGAAGCCTGAGACGTGGGAACCACAGACTTTGCACTTACCATACTGCAACCGACGACGCCAATCCCAAGCCCAGCTTCCGCAGGAACTTTAGGAGGTGTACGACGATTTCTGATTCTTCGCGCCATTGGCCGACTTCTGACGGGTCACCAAAGCAACCGCAGGTGTCAACTTGGCGGTGTCGGTGCTGGGGCTGACCAGCACAGGAAAGCAGCTGCGTCGCCTGGCGACTCACGCAGCGGTGCGATGAGAACTCGGAAGTCTAGCCGCGGACTAGCGGTATCCACTTGTTCCACTGGGGAACTCAGAGCCTTGAGCCAAAATGGCTACGGAGGAGGAGGAGGAGGAGGAGGAGGAGGAGGGAGGAGGGAGGAGGTGGAGGGGTGGAGAGAAGGAGGAGTAGGAGGAGGAGGAGGAAAGGAGCGAGGAGGAGGTGGAGGAGGGGGGGGGGGGAGGGAGGAGGAGGGAGGGAGGAGGTGGGGAGGAGGAGGAGGAGGAGGAGGGGAGGGGGTGGAGGAGGGAGGAGAGGAGGAGGGTGGAGGGAGGAGGAGGGAGGAGAGAGGGGGTGGAGGAGGAGGAGGAGGAGGAGGAGGAGGAGGAGGAGGGACGGTAGAGGGACGGAGGAAGAGGGACGGAGGAGGAGGAGGAGGAGGAGGCGGCGGCGAACTGTTGCGGGGCACGCACGGCCTGCGCTGACACCAGCGGCAGATACGGTCTGCGGCAGATGCGAGCTGCGCTGGCCTTGGGAGGCTGCCGGTGGCTTCACGCAGCGGCCAGCGGCAGATTCGGGGGGGTAAGCCCAGGCGCCGACATGGTTTTTCAACTGTGACAGGGCACCGAAGGAGCCAATCTCCTTGCCAAAGGTCGCGTAGAGCATCAATGCTCGCGCGCGCCCCCAGCGCGCCGCGGGCGCTCGCCTCCCTTACCAAACAGACATGTGAAGCGTTACTTCCAAGAGCTGGTGCAGCGCACCCACTCGCAAACATGTGTAATCATCGACGGATTTCCTATACGAGTTTTCCTTTATCCAGCTGCCTGTGGCAAACCCCGCTACCGTGCCTGTGCAACTGCGCAGCAGGAAGTAGGCTGCGTGTAGGAGCAGCGCAATTTCGATGAGTAGTCTGCATTGGGCCGGGTCGTGATCCCGGCGTTGTCTTCGTCCGCGCGGTAGTGAGGAGGAGGAGGAGGAGGAGGAGGAGGAGGAGGAGGGAGGAGCAGGAGGAGCAGGAGGAGCAGGAGGAGCAGGAGGAGCACGAGGAGCAGGAGGAGCAGGAGGAGGAGGATGAGGAGGATGAGGAGCAGAGGGACACAATGAGGATGAGGAGGAGAAGGCTTCTTGGGACCTTCGTGGGGCCTCCTGGGGGGGGCCTCCTGGGAGCTTATTGAAAGCTTATTTGGGGCTTCTTGGGGGGCCTTAGGGGACTCTTGGCACGTATGACCCCTATGGAGGCCGCCTTGGGGGGCTCTCTAGGCCAGGTTAGTGCCCTCTTGGAGCGGTTCACGGCCGTCTTGGGGGCCCTCTTTGGAGCCCCGTGAGCGATTTGTCGACTCTTTTGGCTAGACTTGAGGCCCTTTTGGGGGGCTCTTGGCTTGCCTTGGAGCTATCGTGGAGGCCTCTTGGGGGCATCTTGGGCCGTCTTGGGCGGTCGAAAGCCCGAACAGGCGAGCTCGTCACAATCTTACAACAACCCACAGGCAATCACTGATTTCAGCCTCCTGGGGCTCTCCAGGAAGGTCTCTTGGAGCCCTCTTGGGCCGTCTTGGGGGCTTCTTGATCTGTCTTGAGGCTGTCTTGGGGGCCTTTTGGGCCGTCTTGGGTCATCTTGGTGTCACTTTGGCTGTCTTAAACCCCAAGAAGGCACCACGACAGAACAAGAGGCCCCCAAGACAGCCAGCCCAAGAGGTCTCCAAGAGGCCTTCCAGGAAAGCCCGAGGATGTCAAACCATTGATTTGCCACATGTTGGAAGGGTTTTGAGGTTCTGGCACGTTTGGGTTTCCGATCGCCCGAGACAGCCCAAGAGGCCTCGCTGGGCCGTCTTGTTGCTCTCGTGGAGCGCTTGAAGGCCGTCTTGGGGCCCTCTTGGGAGCCCTTGGGGTGATCGTTGGTTCCTCCTGGCCCGACTTGGGGCCCTCTTGGAGGCCTCTTGGTCATCATTGTATTCCCCAGCGGCTAGGGCTCAGGCATCCTGCTGCTGTGCACCCGGCGAGGCCTCTTGGCCTGTCTTGGAGCTATTTGGGAGGCCTCGTAGGGGCCTTCTGGGCCGTCTTCGGCGGTCGGAAACCCAAGCAAGCAAGAAGCTCAACGTTCTGCAAACACCCCGGGACAATCAATGGTTTGGGCCCCCATCCAGCTCTCCAGGATAGTCTCTTGGAGCTTCTTGGGACGTCTTCAGGGCCTCTGGGGCCGTGTTCTTCAGCTAACTTGGGCCGTCTTGAGCAGTTTTGTTGTCGTCTTGGCTGCCTAGCAAGCCGTCTTGGAGGCCATCCTGGCCGTCTGGA